GCTGCTCTCGCATGCGGTTCCCCCGCTCATGGCAGCGCTTCGTGGCCCCATGGGGAGCTCCACCGAAGGCCCCAGCGGCTGCTCTCGCATGCGGTTCCCCCACCCCGGGCAGCGTTTCGTGGCCCCATGGGGAGCTCCACCGAAGGCCCCAGCGGCTGCTCTCGCATGCGGTTCCCCCGCCCAGGGCAGCGCTTCGTGGCCCCATAGGGAGCTCCACCGAAGGCCCCAGTGGCGCAGTTCGCATGTGGTTCCCCCACCTAGGACAGCGTTTCGTGGCTCCATAGGGAGCTCCACCGAAGGCCCGCATGCGGTTCGGGCAGCGTTTCGTGGCCCCATAGGGAGCTCCACCGAAGGCCCCAGTGGCTGTTCGCATGCGGTTCCCCCACCCAGGGCAGCGTTTCGTGGCCCCATAGGGAGCTCCACCGAAGGCTCCAGTGGCTGCTCTCGCATGCGGCCCCCCCACCCAGGGCAGCGTTTCGTGGCCCCATAGGGAGCTCCACCGAAGGCTCCAGGGGCGCAGTTCGCATGCGGTTCCCCCACCCGGGGCAGCGCTTCGTGGCCCCATAGGGAGCTCCACCGAAGGCCCCAGTGGCTGCTCTCACATGCGGTTCCCCCGCCCGGGGCAGCGCTTCGTGGCCCCATAGGGAGCTCCACCGAAGGCCCCAGTGGCGCAGTTCGCATGCGGTTCCCCCACCCAGGGCAGCGCTTCGTGGCCCCATAGGGAGCTCCACCGAAGGCCCCAGTGGCGCAGTTCGCATGTGGTTCCCCCACCTAGGACAGCGTTTCGTGGCTCCATAGGGAGCTCCACCGAAGGCCCCACTGGCGCAGTTCGCATGCGGTTCCCCCACCCAGGGCAGCGTTCCGTGGCTCCATAGGGAGCTCCACCGAAGGCCCCAGTGGCGCAGTTCGCATGCGGTTCCCCAGCCCAGGGCAGCGTTTCGTGGCCCCATAGGGAGCTCCACCGAAGGCCCCAGTGGCGCAGTTCGCATGCAGTTCCCCCGCCCAGGGCAGCGTTTCGTGGCCCCATAGGGAGCTCCACCGAAGGCCCGCCCTAGTGGCGCAGTTCGCATGCGGTTCCCCCTTCGTGGCCCCATAGGGAGCCCCACCGAAAGCGGCACCCACAACGCGTTACGAACAATTGTTTATGGTTGGGTCTTTCGCCAGGATAATTCATACGAGTGTGCGCGGCGCTGAGGCGAGAGCTACGTTTTGAAAAGGAACCGCCCTCAATATGTGAAACTCTTTCAAATGTTTAACACGAGTGTGCGCGGCGGTAAGGCAAAAACCACATTTTCAAAACGACCCGCCCTCCATCTGTGAAACCGTTGCCACTTCTGAAGCTTCAGGATCATGAGTGGTGGGGAAACCTCAGGCGAAACGCCGAGCTCGCCTCTGAAAAACTTGCATCGAGGTGCGACAGAAAGAAGTTCCCCAATCAGAGCTTGCCTCTGTAGGGGTCCCAGCGGATTCGTATGGTTATGTGAGGTTTGCCACAGATTTCCGCGGCCCGCCCGGGTGCCCAAGTGCCCAGGTGTCCAGGTGCCTGATCGCCCTACAGCCTTATAGCCCTATAGCCGAAAAGCCCTATAGCCCAACAGTCCGATATGCAGCCCTATAGCCCAATAGCGTTATAGCCCTATAGCCTTATAGCGTTATAGCCTCATAGCCTTATAGCCCAATAGCGTTATAGCCCTATAGCCTTATAGCGTTACAGCCCCATAACCTTCTAGCCCCATAGCCCTATAACCCTATACCCCAATAGCCCTATATCCCTATAGCCCTATAGCCTTATAGCGTTAGAGCCCTATAGCTCGACAGCCCTATAGCTCTATATGCCTATAGCTCTATAGCCCCATAGGCCCTTAGGCCTGTATCCCTATAGCTTTATAGCCCGATGGTCCTATTGCCCTATAGCCCCATCGCCCTATAGACTCATAGCCCATATGGCCATATAGTTCCATAGTCCCAGAGCCCCATTGCCCTATAGCCCTGCAGCCCCATAGCCCTATGGCCCTACAGCCCTATAGACCTATAGCCCTATGGCCCTATAGCCCTATAGTTCCATAGCCCCGTTTCCTCATCGCCCTATAGCCCAACAGCCCCATAGCCCTAACACCCTAACAAGACTTTGACTGCTTTTTCCAACATCATTATTTTCAAGGAAGAGAATGGGGATGATGAGGATAAGGGTGAGGATGACGATGATGCTGCTGATGATGATGTTGCTGCTGATGATGATGATGGTGATGGTCATGATGATGATGATGATGATGATGCTGATTTTGATGATGCTGATGATGATGATGCTGATGATGATGCAGATGCTGATGATGATGCTGATTATGATGATGTTGATGATGATCCTGATTATGACTATGATGATTGTGATGATGCTGATGTTGCTGATGATGTTGATGATGATGACGATGATGATGATGTTGATGCTGCTGATGATGATGATGGTGGTGATGATGATGATGGTGATGGTGATGGTGATGATGATGATGATGATGATGATGATGATGATGATGATGATGATGATGATGATGATGATGATGGCGACGATGATGACGACGATGATGATGATGATGATGATGATGATGATGATGATGATGATGATGATGATGATGATGATGATGATGATGATGATGATGATGATGATGATGATGATGGTGATGAGGAGCAGAGGGGGTGTGGGGTGAGGTCTACGCGGGGTGTCGAGAGAAAGCAAGAACCCCCCTTTGGATGTGGGGACAATAGCAATTGTTGGATGTCCGTGCGGATTTTTTGGATCGGCACTGGACCACCCCCTGGCGCGCTTCGCGCGCCAGGGCTGGCGCCAGAGGAGCCGGGGAGGAGGGTCCAGTTCAGCGCCGATGCGAGAAACCCACGCAGGCCTCGGAAAGTCTATGCTTATGCAATTGGTTGTTCCTCTCTGTTTCTCTTTTTTTCTCTAGAGGAGCGTGGGGACGGCGAGGATGAGGAGGAGGAGGAGGAGGACGGGGTGGAGAGGGGGGAGGAGGGGCGAGGAGGGGAACGAGGATGAGGAGGAGGAGGAAGAGGAGGAGGAAGAGAAGGAGGAGGCGGAGGGGTACACAGCATAATGAACCCAGGATGCCTCATCGATGATGCAAGGACACCCACCCTCCCGTCCCAAGTCCCCTTCCCGTAAGCTCCCACAAGCAGTTGCTTGCCTTTCAGGCGAGATCGCAGTTTTTGACTGCAGGCGCTGACGCAGCCACGCCTGCGACCGCCGCTCCGTGCCCGACCAGGGGTGGCAATCTGTTCACCTTGCCGTCGTCATGGCTGCGGTCGTCGCTGTTTAAACGATGCGGCGAGAGCTGGCGACCACCCAGCATGCCCAGCCAAGCGGCACGAACCGGCAATCCAGTAAGTGTCTGGTTGGGCATTGGCACAGTGCCGTCCAATTGCCGCTTTCTATCGGCGTGGGGGCTCACGTGGCGACGAACCTCTTTCGCAGGAGGGCGAAGAGGGGGAGGATGGGGAGGAGGTCTAACTGCCGCTTTATATCGGCGTGGTGGCTCACGTGGGAACGAGTCTCTTCCGCAGGAGGGTGAATTGGGGGAGGATGGGGAGTAGGAGGAGGAGGAGGAGGAGGAGGAGGAGAAGGAACCCGAGGAGGTGAGTCAGATCCCTCCCAAGATCTCGATCTTGTGCCGTCGACCCCCTCGATCCTCGATCCTCGATCCTCCCTCCTCGTCCTCCTCTTTTCCCTCCTCCCCTGTCTTCCTGCTCGTCCTGCCTCCTCCCTTCTCCTGTTTCCTCGTCTTCCTCCTTCCTCCTTCCTCTTCCTCCTCCTTCATTATCCTCCTCCTCCTCCTCCTTCCTCTTCTTCCTGCTCTCCCTTCTCCTCTCCCTCCTCCCTCCCTCTCCCTCCTCCTCCTCCTCCTCCTCCTCCTCCTCCTCGTATCCTTATTCCTTATTAGAATATACTCTTACGCCCCCCTCTGGCCGGCCGATAGCCCCCATCCGGGCCTTTCCATCCTAACTGTAATAAATCAATGCAAAGTCGTAGTTTTTCTCTGAACATTGGCCTTTCTTGTCGTCGACGATGCGAAATGCGTCGCAGGAATAGGACGCGGCGCACATCGCGCGCGGCCGTCAATCCAGGCCCTCCCATCGTGATTGTTAAAAATCAATACGAAGTCCTCGTTTTTCCTCTCAACATGGCCTGTCCTGGGGCGAAATGTCGCTCTCGCTTCGGCGCCGCGCGCATGTTTTCTGAAAGTTGCGCTCTCGCTAAGGCGCGGCGCACATTTTTTTTCGCTCGCCAATTCGTCGAGCGCCTAGGGCCCCCTGGGGCCTCCCAGGGTCTCCTGGGACATCCTGGGGCTTCCCGGAGCTTCCCCAGGGCCTCGTGGATCCTCCTGGAGCCTCCTGAGGCATCCTGGGGCTTCCTGACATTTCCTAGGGCTTCCTGAGGCCTCCTGGAATTACCTGGGGGGTCCTGGGCCCTCCTGAAGCCTCCTGGGGCTTCCTGGGGGTCGCTGGGGCTTCTCCTGAGGCCTCCTGGGGCCTCCTGGGGCCTCCTGCGGCATCCTGGGGCCTCCTCGGCTCGTGCTGCAATGCCAGCGCAGTCTTTGAGACGCGCCAGGGATTTCCCTTCGGTAACCGCCATCTCGGCTGCATCAGCTGTGGCAAACCACCTTGCCGATCTGATTTTGGTCCCCAGTTGCGCCAGCACTGTTTCTTATGTTGTGGGAGGGCGGGTGGGAATGGACATGCCATGCTTGACTCGCTCGAGCTTGCTAGCTTGACTCCTCCTCCTCCTCCTCCTCCTCCTCCTCCTCCTCCTCTTCCTCCTCCCTTCTCCTCCTGCTCGTCCTGCCTCCACCGTTCTCCTGTCTCCACCTCGCTCCCTCCTTCCTCCTCCCTTCCACTTGTCCATTCCGCCCTCCCCCTCCTGTCCTCCCCTTTCCTTTGGGGGGGCCTCCGCCTCCCGAAGAACAGCCGCTAATGGTGGGAGTCCCCCCTCCAAGGTGGGCGACAGCGAGGGGGAGGACGAGCGCGGCGGCCCAGCAGGGGCGCGGTGCCCAGGGCCCGCGGCCGAAGCGGCACCGCTGGCTTGAGGACCCCAGCATCCCTCTACGGGGTGAGGAGGGGGAGGAGGAGGAGGAGGAGGAGGAGGAGGAGGAGGAGGGACACTGGGAGAGACACTCGGCCCCAGCAATTGATGGCACCAGGACTGAGCTATTCATCAGCACGGACAAGAATCCAGCGATGGTCAAGAGGGAGCTCGGCCTAAAGATGTTGCGCCGCGCCTTTCAGAGCGTGGCCAGCGGGAACAGGTACTTCTCGGACAAAGCGAAGGGCGAGATCTCCGCGAGCTGGAAGCCACTGGCTCGCATCACCCCCATGCCAGGCGACGAAACTCCCAAACCAAGATCGAATGGTGTGTACCCAACCTCGTGGAGCTCGGGATCGACAAGAAAAGCGTCCAGAGGAGGTTCGAGTCCAGTTTGCAACCTGCGGTGGTGCCGCAGTGGTCTGTTTAGCAGTATTCTGAGATGGTGGAGAGGTCCACTATCTGAAGAATGGCCCCTTAGTCTGACTACGTGGAACGCCCGAGCCCTCTTCCACCACTCTGTTCCCCGACGTGAACCCAAACTCGCCCTTCTCCGTCGTCTCCTCACCAAAGGCGCCATAGTAACAGTCCAAGAGAGCCATGGTTCCCTTCTCGAGATTCAGGACTTTTTGCATAACAATCGCCTGCAGTTCCAGGCGTACGCTTCCTTCTGCCCGAATGAGCAGGCCGGTGGCGTTGTCACGTTCCTCCCCAGTGTTCGCTTTCTCGGAGACCAGAGCCCAGAGGTGTGTGCTCGTCAATCCTTCCAGGACGGGCATTGCGAGTTGCATTGACAATGGAGGACAGGTCCCGACTGGTCCATTACAACATTCATAACTATAAGCTCTCCCGTGAAGATAAAGAACCAGTGACATAACTTGTCGCGGCTGATTTGGAGGAGGCACAGGCGAACCCCACCAAGTCCCTGGTCCTGGTCAGCGGGGACTTCAATTTTGAGTGCGTGCCCCCGCGCAAGGAGCCAGACGCCGAGGTAGATGAAGCATCCCATCGATATCTTCAGGATTGGCGATCCTCCCAGGACAGAATCCTCATGAAAGCCCTCAGGAAAATAGTTGAGACTGAGGTCCCCGAGTCCTCCCATCACTTCGCCCCGAAGCGGATGCCCACCTTCATCGACAGGCAATTCGTCTCGCTCCCAGGGTGGCTGTGCACACAGTTGAGTCTTACAGGCGTGGTGGTCGAGCCACCTGAACTACTGAACCGCAGGGGGATCTCTGATCATGGACCTGTTCGGGTGGTTGTTTGCCCTGGGAAACCTGTTCCTGGCAGCGAGCGCCCTGTGCCTCCTGAGGTTTGTGATCGACCCGAGTACCGACAGTTCTTGGAGAAAATCGGGGGGGTTGGTGTTCAGAGTAGGCTCGCTTCACCGCTGAGGCTGGAATTTCAGACCCAGATGATGCGGGAAGCGGCGAAGGTCGCCCGCGAGAGCTTCATCTCCAAGACGCCCGATTCCCTATTCGCGCGTTTGGCGGTGATCAAAGGGGTCGGCCGAGCAGTCCGGTGGCGAGATGTTCGATGTGCCCAACAGCGCCGGAGGTCTCACGGATTAGGCAAGTTTTTCCTTCGGATCGACCCGCTGGAGGGGACAGTGGAGCTAATTGATGCTCCTGAGTTTCATCGTCGTTCGAACTCGATCCACGAGCTGATATCGATGTAGAAACAGGCTGCCCTGAGCAAAACCATCTCCGACGCGACCGACGAGATTGCAAGAACGAAAGCCAGAAGGAAACTGAAAAGTACGATTCGACGAAGTAGACTCTGGAGCCCTTTTGGGCGCAGGATGTCCCTGCAAGGGATCAGGACAACGGACGGCCAGTCTGTTGTTGCCGAGCTTGGTGCTGCTCTCTCGCTGCTGGCCAACCAGTGGCAGCCTGTCTTCGCCAGGAAAGAGATCAACGTTCATGCTGCGCAGGCTTATCTTCATCATCACATTTCAGATATCGATCTATCTGACCATCCTCCTTCTTCTCTTCGCCAACTGAGAGATCCGAAGACAGCGCCCCAGGTCTTGATGGGCTCCCGTACAGGGCTTGAAAAAGGCACCCGGCGGGGCGCAGTATTCTCGACGAAGGGTTGTGGTGGTTACTTAGTGACTTAGTGGGGGAGCTACGTTACCGTCCTTCAACCACGTCAGAGGGGTCTTTATTGCTAAAGGGGAAGATGAACAATATTCTAATAGTGTCTCTCGGGCTGCAGACCAAACCCGCCCTCTGGGGCTCAAACAATCATCAAATAAGCTTATCGCAGGCACCATTTTCGAGAATCTCAGCAAGGCTCTGAAGGGCAGGAATCATTTCTCGCAGAGGGGCTTCGTAAGAGGCCGCAGTTTGGGATTGTATATCTTGGAACTTGACGCCAGAAGTAGGATTGCATCTATGTTGCCCGACGCCGCTGTTCGGCCCCCAGCCCTTCTGGCATTTGACTTCGGCCAGGCCTTCCCATCGGTTGCGCGCGAATGGATTCGCAGAAGTCTGGCGGCCTTTGGTGTTCCCACTCCTCTTCGACCTATGTCGAGCTACTGTGCTCTGGTGTTCGTGGCTTCGGGACGTTCGCGAGAGAATGCCGATTCCACTTTAACATTGACGCAGGCGTCGTCCAGGGCCGCCCTGGATCAGGAGTTCTCTTCGCCATTGCCAGCCACCCGTTCCTGGTTGACTTTGGAAGCGCTTGGAGCGGGCCGAGGAGCGCAACGACCGCGCCGAGAGCCAGCGGCAGCGCCTGCCCGATGGCCCCCCTCGCTCTTTCTCCACTCGTGACGACTCCACGGCTGAGCCTCGCGAGAGCGTGCGCTAACGACATCGGTGCCGTGGTGATGGCACTTCGTGAACATGTACATCTGAAGGCGGTATCTGAGTGCAGTGAGGCCCTAGCATGTCTTGTTCTTAAGAAATTCAAGTGTTTCCTGGTTCCGTTGGCGGGGCCGTTTTGCCCGCCTCTCGTTGCCATGTACAGGCGCTGGCTTCAAACCACTGTCCCTGCATGGGGTTCCTTTCAGGTCGCCGCTTCTGTGGAGTACCTCGGGCTCCAGCTGGGGCCGGCAGTCACTGCTGATTTATGGCGCGCGCGGATCCTGAAGTGGGCGTCGCGATGCGCCGTGATTGCGGCTGAGAACTCGCGAGCAGCCATCACCCAGTATCTTTACTCCATTCGAGCGATCTCCACTCTCGGCTACGTTGCCCAGTTTTGTTCTCTCCCACCCTCCTGCCCCGTCCTGCCATCCCCCGTCGCCCGCGCGGAGCATGCTGCCCTCGCCTCTCTCTATCGTGCCCCATCGCTGTGCCATATCGCCAGCCGCGTGGTTCAACCTCGGAGCTTAAGGTGGACCATCTGTCGTGAGTATTGAAGCTCTTTGTGCTGCCACACTGATGCGTTCAGCCATTTTCACCTTCCCCGAGCACGCTGCCACTCTGTGTCAGCTGCGGGAGTTTGCAGAAGCACACCAGATTGTGTACCTGGTCGCGGGGAAGACCTCCCCGACCTTTTGGGCCTGCCCGTCGTTTGTAGAGACGCTTGGAGACGCCGCCGCTGGGTTCCCTCGGACCCCCTCGCTCTCTCGAGCTGGGCCGATTGCTCTTGCGGCCGCGACGGAGCTCTTGGCCCTTGCCGCTGGCCTCCCCCGACCTCCTCGGCGCATCGAGCTCCAAGGTAGGCTGACGCGAGTCCTGCCTGTGGAACTCCTCCCCGATGGTCTCGGTCGCGTGTTCGCTACTCGTCTCGCTCGGTGGTTTCCTGGCGCTCGCGAGGTTCTCGATTGTAAATTGGGAAGAGGTCCGCGCCCTGCTCCTGAAGATGAGAGGGCCACTTACGAATGCCATATGGAAGACTCTCACGGGGAGTTGGCACACGTTCATGCGTTGTCATGATGACTCTGCTCTCTCGTGCGTGCTCGGGTGTCAGGCTTGTGATACGTTTGTGCATTATTGGACATGTCCTCGGTTCCTCTGCCTCCTCCGCCCTGTCCTCTCGAATGATGTTCCCAGTTGCCAGATTTGCCGTTTTGGGTTGTTCCGTCCGACCACGTCTAGTCTTCCTGCCCCCGCCGCTGCCGATTTGCTATTTGTCAACCTCCGCTCACTTTACCAGCCCCCGAGGGCTCTCAGCGAGGAATGGGCGCGGCAAGCCGTACCCCTGACCAAGGTGCAGGTGGCCAGAGCCAGCGGTAGGCGATGAGGAGTTGAGGACTTGTTCGCAGCGGCGTGCAAGGAGGAGGAGGGGAGGACAGGACAGGTCTGCATAAGGGGGTTAACGTCAACACACCTACACTGGTGCCTTGCGCGCGTCTAGCAAAAAGTCATCTGCGATTTTGTTGTGCGACAGCCCTGACCTCTCACTAGGGCTGGCAGGGGGCATGCCCCGAAGCTTCAAGGGGCAAGCTCCGAGGTGGCCCCGTAAGAGAGGCTCGCAGCCTTGTGAGTGCGAGTCCTTGCAGGTCAGTGCGGGGGGAGCAGCTGTTGGCCCTCTCGCGCGCCCGTGGAACTGGGGACGCGCAGGGCGGGCACGGCTCCCAAGCGATGGGGGGAAGAGACGACGACACGACCGCTCAAAAGGAGAAGAGGGGGGGACTCGCGAGGCCCAAGCTTTCGAAACTTTGTTGGGGGACCTAATTATTGGACTGGTTTTCTGCTATCCTATTCTCTCCTTTCCCTCTCGGCTTACTTCTTTTCCAGAGCGTGCAGGTCGATGGTTGTCCCATGCATTGTCGTACCTGTACCCTGATACCCTGCAGTCGTTTCCCACTGTGCCCGCCTTGAAGTGAAGGTAGGGGAGAGCATGCTGATAGTCGCGGCATGTTGGAGATTTGTCTACACGATTTCCTCCAGTTTTCGTGTTACTGTGGGGCCCTCGAGGGTGCGCTCTGGTGGCCTTCGTGATCACCACATGTTTGTCCATCCTCACTCCCTGCAGTAGTGTACCTGTCGGCACTCCCAAAAGTCAATTCCAGACGCTTCGCGTATCCCCACCTGCCCATCCACAAACGACGTCCAGGCGAGTTAAGGTGATCAGGGAACTGCGGGAGCAAAGAGGTAGACGGCTGAACCGGGCGAAGGAGGGAGGAGGAGAACGAGGAGGTTGGAGGGATGGACGAGGGAGTGGGAAGAAGGAATATGAATAGGACGATGAGGAGGAGGAGGACGATAAGGAGTCCGAGGAAGAAGAAGGAACTGGAGGAGGAGGGCAAGCAAAAGGGTTAGAGGTCTCTTGGATGCCCCCCGGAGCCTCTTGGAATATCTCTTCGGCGCCCGTTTGGGCGCCTCTAGGGGCCCTCTTTTGGCGCTCTTGGGAGCTTTGGGGGCGTTCGTTGGGCCATATCGGAGGAGATCTATCAAAAAAAGGGGGTTCGTTCATTAGCCTCCCCCCTCGGGAGCCCTTCGAATCGCCTCCTGGACCCCTCTCGGAACGCTCTTGGGCGCTCTTGGGGCCGTCTTGGGGCTTTCTTGGGCCTCCCTTAGGGCCCTCATAGGCCCTCTTGGAGCTGTCTTGAGGCCTCGGAAGGCCATCGGAAACGAAAAAGGCGAGAAGGCCAAATTCATTGATTGTCCTTTGGTTGTTGACGGATTTTGGCATCTTGGCGGCCTCCTTGGGAGGCTCGGTGGCTACTTTGGAGCCGTCTTTGGGGCGGTCCTGGGGCCTGTCGGAGCATGTTGGGAGCCATCTTGAGGCATTCTGCGCACTCTTGAGCCATCTTGGAGATCATCTTGGGCTCTCGCGACCGCACCCCTCCAGGTCCAGGGGAGGAGGTAAGGGGGAGGGGTAAATCCCTCCCCGAAGGGGAAGAGGGAGGGGTGGAAGAGGAAACGCTCTAAACCACCTACGCCCAGAGGGCTGGTGGGATTAACAACCGCATAATTTTTGTCATCAGTGTCGTCGCAATCAGCGCCATCATTACCCGTACGCCGTTGGGCTAGAGCCTTCCACGGGGACGCAGTCGGCCAACTCACTCTCGCCCTCCCCCCTAGGGTGGCAAAGCTGTTCCAACTCTGTCTGAAGCACCGTGGTTGTGTTGGGAAATATCTGATTCGACGGACCCCGCGCAAATCTCAATCCACCTGACAACAGCTGATTTGGATCGACATCAGAGGGCGACCTGCACTTGATTACGAACATGGTTCGATTCACCGGTCTCGGTCATACCAATGCACGCAGAACAACTTTCAAGCTCAGACGGATCAGGCGTCGATTCATCATTTTTTTCGCACGTGGATACACGAGTTGGCATATTTAACGGTTTCGACGTGTTCGGCGTATTCAAGGTCAACGTATTGGCGGAGTTGAACATGTCTTCTCGCTTCAGCGTTTCTTGCCGATTATTTGTTTCAGCGTTGAGCAGCATGAGTTCAGCATCCCTCCTGATCCATGGATTGCTAGTTCCGCAGCGCTGGAATCTGATGAGGCGTTTTTTCCCGCGGCACGTTTTTTCATGAAATCAAGCCTGAATTGCTGGAGGTATTTCAGAATTTGGCTGCGGCGTTCATTTACTTAGCGCTTGGCGTTATTCTCCCCAATCTGGCGAGACGTAGCAACGTTCACTTGGAGCGTACGCTCACTTTTGCGTACCGCTACAATCTGAACATGAGGTTCGGCAGTGCACAAATGTTTTTCTCGTATGTATTGTGGCCGGCTACTTTTCAATCGAGTATGTTTGCGCCAGTGCTAGTTTGGTCCATTGGCTGTATGGGGACAGCTTTGCGGAGCAAGCACACATTTAATTTTTGGGTGAGCTCAGCGTCTTCACTTGGTCCATCGGCATGCTCTTCATTGGACCTTCCATGGTGGAAGAAGTCGGCACTGTAGCCGTGCGTGAAATTGTCGCTGGGGTCGCTAAGGAGGTAGACGACATGCGTACCCGGCCAATCCCTTGGCAAAGGCCGCTGGACTTCTTGAAGGCGACAGATTTTCTGTTGGCGGACACCTTCGATTGTCTCGGACGCTTGATCATATTTCGCGTCTCCATGCTCTTCTTGCTCGCAGTCGGATTCGGCTTGATTGGAATCGTCCACCCAAACGACACTTCGAGAAAGGGCGCACAGGCTTTTGGTGTACTGTCAGCGATTTGCGGCTGTGCTATTCTATTCCGTTTTGGGACGCATTTGCGAGAAGTGTAGTAACAGCAGACTTGGATCTAGTAATTTGACGGCGAATGTGGTTCTCATATTGGTGGGAAATGAATTGGAGCATGATTCGGAACAGAGCGCTTTCCATCAGCTGTCGTTCTACCTCAGAAAGTGGACGATTGGCATAGAGCTGTTGGGCACGCGAATAACACTTGAGTTTGTAGCAAACGTCGCATTACGAACATGTTTCTACCTTCCAGCCGCGGTAGCTGTCATCGAAGGCATATGGTACACTGGTGATGTGCCATCATGAAGGGCCACAGCAGGGACACCAGTGAACTTCGGTGCTTGATCTGACGCGCTCGCTGTCTGCTCGAGCTGCCTGATCAAGTGGCGCAGGAAAAGCATCCGACTGCGTGTGGCAGGTGTCGCCACTGTGCCAGTGCAGCATTCCGCGTGGCGGCGCTTCGGGTACCGCCCAGGAGGCCGCACCCCGTGACGCTGCTGGTTTCTCGAACACGCCTACGGCGAATCACCGCCGCCCCCTGCCTTTTTGGAAGCGCCTGCGTGGCCGAAAGTTAGGTTTGAGCTTGACCGAGTGGGTTTCGAAAGACTTCGGGGAACATGGAGTCGGGCGAGCTATCAGACCAGGTGGTTTCTGAGCTTTCGGGCCTGCTGGAGGAGGACGTCTTGGAGGGGCCTTGGGCCGTCTTGGAGGCCTCTGGCGGGCCTTTTGGACAGTCGAAGGCCATCTTCAGGCCATCTGTTGCCGTCGTGGGTGCATCTTGGAGCCATCTTCGCCGTCTTGACGGCCTTCTTGGCCGTCTTGGAGGCATCTTGAAGGCCATCAGGGCCGTCTTGGATGCCATCTTGGGCCTCTTGGGGGCCATTTTGGGCCGTTTTGGCGTCTTGTTGGGGCCCCCTTGGGGGCCTCTTGGGCTGTCATGGGGCCTTCTTGGAGGCCTCTTGGGCGCTCTTGGGACGATGTTGGGGGCCTCTTGGGCCGTGTTGGGCCGTCGGAGAGCTGAAAGGAAGAACATGCCAAAATCCTTCAACCAAACATAGGACAATCATGGATTTCGGCCCTTTCGGGCCTTCCTGGAGGACGTCTTGGAGGGCTCTTGGGCCGTCTTGGAGGCTTCTTGTGGGCCTATAGGGCCGTTTTAGTGTGACTGATCTCCAGAATTTACGTATTAGGTTTAGCATTTGAGATCTTTACCTTGGTAGTCCTACCGAGTTGCAGCGCGTGCTCGGTGTACTGTTACCCTCTGTGGCTCAAGCCCAAAAACGTTCATCCAATCCTGTGCCGCCACAGTTGGTAGCGGAGCGCGGAGTCGCTCGGGGTGCCATGGGCGCGAGCCAGGTCCACGCCCGAGAGGCGTGACCGGCCGGCGTTCGCGTGCTCCCGAGCGGTCGCTGCGCTCGGCCGACTGCGACGCGTGGAGATCCACGGTGAACGCCATGACGGGCGTCGAGGGAGAAGATACAGAGAAGGGGGCCAACCTACACGTGAGTGCGGGGACGGACGAGGACGCAGTGACTAGGGGCGAGCTCAGAGGACTCATCGGGGACATCGTCAGGGCGGCGATGCAGGAGCAGTCCATGAGCTCGAGTGCTGCGGCAGCGTCCAGCTCCGCAGCCGCTGGCAAGCCAGACGAGAAGGGCGAGGATCCGTGGCAGAACTCGGATCCATGGACGGCCAGCGGCGGAGAGAGTTGGCAAGGTCGGTGGTGGCAGGCCGACTCAAAGACCAGCTGGGAGGATCGGCAGCCCGATCAGAAGGACGGCTGGCAGAAGGACTCAGGCTGGTCTCACGACGCCGCCTGGACCCGCGGGACCGGGTCCCGACCCGAGCTGGCCAGCTGGTCCGGCAGCTGGGCTGGAGGCGGCGGCGCCTGGACCAAGGGAGACTACTCAGACCCACCTGCATGGCCAGGATGGGCACACTTCAGAGCATGGAAGAAGTCGCTCAGACGCTGGAATGCAAACACCGACGTGCCAGTCTGGCGTCGCTCCGAGAAGTTCCTTCGCCTGTTCGACTGGGCTTTTCAGGCGAAGTTCGAGGACATCCAGGAGCATCGCCTGACAGACGACGGCTGGATCGGCATCGTGCTCGGCCGCATGGACACCATGGCGGGCGAGCGCGAGGGAGACGACCTTCGCCGTGCAGGTCGTCGAGCCTTCTTCGAGGCCAACCGCGAGGCGAAGGAGTCGCTGATCCAGTTCGTCATCCGCCGCGACGCTCAACTGCAAGAAGCTGAAGGACATGATCTATGGATGTCGCCCAAGCTGAAGGGCCTGCTCTTGGAGGAAGGCGCGTGCCTGTCCGCCCAGGGGCTCCAGAATTTGAGGACGCTCACCCTCGGGAAGCTGGACTACGAGAACGTTTCGTGGGCGCTCAAGCAGATGGACTCCGGTGGCACGGAGCGTCTGCTCCCAGGGCGCGGCGCTGGGGCGATGCTGGCTGACGCGACGGCTTCTGAGGGCTTAGGGGCTAGCGAGGCGTTGCCTGGTTTTCAGTCCCCCCTCCTCTCTCCTCCTCCCCCGTGGTCGCAGGGTCGGTCAGAGGGTACTGGCGACTTCCCGGCAGAGGACGAGGAGACCTTCTACGATGAAGACGACGAGGAGGAGGCCTCGGACGAGGAGGACATCGAGGCTCTGCTGGCCGAGCTCGACGATCTCGACGTGTCCGAGGATCAGGTGGACGAGGTGCTGGCGACCCTCGAGGCCAAGAACACCAGGACCTGGAAGCATAACAAGGAGCTGAAGCGTGCTGCTCGTCAGGACCGGGAGCATTCTCGGCCTGACTCCCGGGCGCCTCGACCTCCTCGGGCACATCCGGCAGGTCGTCCAGGACGTGGCGGAGGCCGTGGCGATGGCGCCGGCGGCCGAGGCGGACGCGGCCGCGGCGGTCGCGGGCTCGATCGTCGGCGACTCACGAGGGAGCAGCTGATCAAGGTGACGCGCTGCGGCATCTGCAAGCAGAAGGGCCACTGGCATCGGGAGTGCCCAGAGAAGGACGGCTCCAAGGATCGCCGAGCTGTGAAGGATCACGGCCGAGGAGCATCCGCGTACATGTTCTCAGGCATCGTCGGCGAGGTCGGCGGCTCCGAGTTCGTGGCGACGGTGAAGACGGGCACGGGCAGCCTTCCAGCTTGGGAGCAGGCGCAGCTGGAGATCGAGTCGAGCGCAGTTCTCCTCACCACGTCCGCCACCCAGGGGCTCGTCGACCCAGGTGCCGGCAGCGACCTCGTGGGAGTCGGAGCGCTCAACCGAGAGTCTCGAGCCCTGGCGGAGATCGGGTTGAGGTGCGGCGAGATACCTCAGGCCGACCGCCCGCTCAAGGCGGCCCACGGCGTCGGAGGAGCCGCGCGGGTGATCAATGTGATTCTCTTTCCGCTATGCTCAGGCCAGACTTTTGGCATCATAGAGACCACGGTGCTGGCGGACAATGTTCCGCACATCCTCAGCGTGAATCTTTTAGAGTTTCTCGAGGCCGTCATTGATCTGCCCAGGAACAGCATGCAACTTGGGCGCCTAGGTCAGAAGGCGCCCCTCTGCCGTCTCAATTCAGGTCATCGCCTCGTGGAGATCGTGGGGCCTCTCGACCAGGAGGCAGTAGCGCCGGCAGCTGCGATCAGGAGGTATCTTTTTTTGCGTGCTGACTCGTTTCAGACTGCTGCAGGACAGTTCCCAGAGGTGTCGGACATTGGTGTAGTGACCGGCTACATCCCTCTCCTCATCGCCATCGTCTTGCTGCTCATGCTGCTGCTGCGGGTCACGAGGGGGAGCTCAAGGGCCAGGACCAGGACTCAGAGGACGTCTAGGCCCAGGACTCAGAGCACCAGTTCGATCGTCCACTCCAGGAATCGGGTCGACATCCAATCGGAGCACCAGGACGACCAATCGAGGGAGCTCCTCCAGTCATGGGCTCAGCTGGGCCCGAGCCAGGCCTAAGGATCCGGTAGACAAGCTAAGGTGCTGAGGCCGAGGAGGTCTTCGAGAGGAAGGGTTCCAGAGAGCCCAAGAAGATGGACTGAACTGACTGTTTCCATGATAATAGTGGCGGCCGTTGTCTCTTCCGTAGTCCACCTCGGCTCAAGTCTAGCCTTTCTGGTGTTAGCTTTCTCCGTTCACGAACTTCTTGTGGTCCAGCAACAGCGCCTGGCCAGACTCGATGGTTCTCGGAGGGCTGCTCCTGGCGTGGTTGGCGGTGCATCCTGTGCTCGGCGGGAAGAAGAAAGGAGAGTTCGGGACGTCGAGCAAGGGAAATCAGGGAGCGTGGGATGCCACTCAGGCGTTTCTGCGAGCGCGCCAGTCTCGCCTCAACGGGGAGCGTGCTCCTGGAGAACCCGACTCGGACGGCTACGTCTGGGACGAGCCCTCGGCGGAGGAGACAGCGGCGGTGGCGGCCGAGAGCGACGCCCTGGAGGCGGCGGCGAGGCAGGCCCAGATCCAGGCAGAGGTGGACCAGGCAGACCGCGGGCCACCCACCGGAGGCGCATCGTCCTCAGGGAGTGGTCGGGCAGTGGGCTATCCGGCCCGGCCGGGCCAGCCAGGGCCTCAGCCGCCCTTGCCTCCAGAACCACCTCCGGGGTATACTGGCCCATGCCCCATGGTGGTCGACCGATCGTTCAACTCCCAGGCGGCAGCGGCAGCAGCGGCAGCAGCGGTGCCTCCAGCAGTTCAGCAGGCAGCGATCAACACTCCGGTGGCATCGACTCCGCCACCAGTGAAGCCTCCTCCTCCAGGAACGATGCACATGCGGGGCACTACGGCGCCGCTTCCCCTGACGGGGCCCGCTGCAAGCAAGCCACCGCCCAAGCCGCCACCTACGCAGTTGGCATCGACCCCCGAGCCGTCGATCTCAGCGAAGCCGCCTCCCGGCCCAGTCAACGAGTGCGAGCATCCAGAGTCGTGCATCCGATACTACGGGAACCAGCACGGGTCAGGTTCGAGGTGCACCCGGTGCCAGACCCGACTGGCGTGGATTCCCCGGGGCCAGGGGATGGCAGCGGGTCAAGACCCACCGCAGTCAGCTGCCGAGGCAGCGCGGTCAGCGGCGGCATCGGCCCGGCGTGCTGTCAACATCCTGCAGGAGAGCCCAGGGTTCCGAGAGGGCGGGGCTGCCCTAACTACAGTGAACTCCCTGGGCACGTTGCTACAGAGCCTACAGTGGCAGCTGCAGGAGATACCAGAGGGGATCCGTGCCTTCGGCCGGGTCCAGGAAGTGCTGGACCGCATGATTCAGGTGGCGACCGACACGCAGAGTGCGCCGTTCAGGTCCAGGAGGGGCTCATGCAGATTCACCAGGTCCTGATGGGAATCCAGGGCCACTTGGTGTCCCTTGAGGACTTCGGCGAGAAGCTCGACACGATGGAGTCCAGGATGCTCAACCTCGAGCAGAGCATGGGCCAGCTGGGATACATCATCATGCAGGTAGGCCAGGGCGTGGCCGGACTATTTCACGTACACGGAATTCAGCAACTACATGGTGGTCAGGCCCCGGAC